ATCGCTGATGTTTCTTTTTCAATTATGTGATATATGGTGTGATGATTTTTTTCCTAATGAAGGTATAATTAAGGTGCAACGATTGTGTTGTGAAGATGATAAAAAATAAGTAGTAAATATATGAATTTGAGGTGATAAAACATTGGGGCAGTCCTGTCCATGATGGATGGTGGATATGTGGCTGAGATATAATATTTCCACCTCAACTCGCTTATTTAATAGTACTGGAGATAAACAGATCTGATATGCTAAAAGGCTTTGAAGATTTTGTGTATACAAAATACTCCCTCCATTTTTATTTACTCTGCATATTAGAGTTGAGTGAAGTCAAACTTCATAAAGTTGGACTAAGTTTATAGAAAAGAATATAAACATTTACCATTAGAAATCTATATGATGTGAAAATACATTCAATAATAAACTTAATTGTATTGAGTTGTTATTGTATATGTTAATCTTTTTATTTATAAACTTTGTCAAAATTTACGTAGCTTGACTTTGACCAAAGCTAATATGCGGACTAAATAAAAACAGAGGGAGTACAAACATACAGGCTGGTGTCTAGGGATAGGAGCCGTCAAAAGGAAAGGTGAAAAAGTTACATCTACAACCTAAATGAAGATCAAGCTTTTCGTGGTTATTAAAAATGCGGAATCTCCTCTCAATGGTCATGTGTTTAGTATTTAAACGCTTAATGCATGTGTTGTGACTGTAATAAACTTTTCATTTTTGTATTCACGAGAGAAGAGTTGAAGTCTTCATTGGAGTATACATTAAGATTTTTTTTATTGTGCCGACGTTCACTAGGAGGGCATGGCAAAACAAACGTTTTATAGGAAATTTTAGGTGTTGTGAGGATGGCAAATCCCTCATGAAGCATGACATATCCTGACAAGAAAATTGAACTGGATGAATTCACCATGCTTGCTTGAGAAATTTGCCGTCCACGGACAACATAAATTGCCATGAAAATCGTTCCCTTTGCCATGCCATCCGAGCGAACACTCGCTGGTTATAAATTCCTATATCAAAGTGGCTCAACCGCCATGGTAAACAAACCTGGTAGATTCATTTTTTTTAATACAGTATAGACACAAGCATTCATATATATGCACATACACTCATTCATATGAACGCACACATGGCATCCTATCTTTATGAGCACGTTTGAAAGATTGAGCCGACATATCATCTTGAGATTTATGAAGTCGTCATAGGCGTCCCGTCGTCGACGGGAACATTTCCTCGCACTAAAAGCGCATTGTTGGAAATCCTGAAATAAATTCATACATAATGCGAGAGGGTTTGAACTCTGTTAGACTGGGGATATCACTATCTCTCTAACCATCTAACCATATGTTGGTACATTGGAAGGTGCTCTTTTGATCGGGCGAGTTAGTTAATACTAGTTGGTTAGACAAGGAGAACACCGCGGGAAAAAAGCTGCTCTATTTGGATAGAACACGCGCTCGTGGGTGGAGTAATCTCTGGACGTCATTGTCCGTGGATCTTCTCCGTGGCCGATGGATGGAGCGTTGCCGCACATGATCACTTCACGGGGAGGGGATGCATGCCGATGCCGGTGACGTGATGCTAGCTGTACTACGCCGGATCGATCCGTCCAAGCTGGCTCGCGCGTCATCTCGTCTCCGGCCTCCACGAGATGGTATCTGGATTGCCAGATCAAACCGCGGAGGAGGATTAATAAGTTAACTTATCTCCAGATTACATATAGCTAGCCACGTTTAGTACGAGCAGCAGTAGATATACTAGTAGTAGTAGTAGGCTAAGTTTACTACTAGTAGTGTATAATTGTGTGGATCAATCTTCACATAAAGATAGTGGACATTGACATCCCCGCGGCCTAGCTATTACTAGTAGATTTGATTGGTACTTCGGGGAGACGGCAGTACAGAGCAAGAAGCACAACGAACTCCAAGGTTTTCACCAAGAATGCCTTCTTCTTCTTCTTCTTCTTCTTTGACTCTAGAACTAGACACATGCAAGAGAGACCTGGACGTACGGATCAAATAAGGGGCCAGGATTCAGTTCCAGTGCCAGTGAATTTGGATTCAATCCTAAGTAAGTTTGGATTTATGTAGTAGGAGATGTTTTTCTTTTCATTTCATGTTTACCCTTGGCGGGCGCACATGCATGCAGGCATCCTGACTCTCATGTCATCGAACCTGGAGACATCACATCACATGCTTGCCAAAGTCAGCGCCATACCGCGTGCACTGGCTCAGGGTACGAAGCCACACACAACACAGCCATTAACAACGGAGCAAGACAGTGTAATATCGTGCATATGGGTGGGGTGAGGAATCTTCCCATGTGTGACACCCCCGCCCCGAGGTTCATCCGATTCTAACCGAAATTTCCAAAGCAGCTAGTAGACACCAGCAACCTACCATAAAAATCGGAAAGCACTTCCCGTCAAAATAATAATAATCGGAAAACACTTATTGAAACATATAGGGTTTTATGATGTTCCCAAATTAATACTATGAACCATTCATTTTTTCCGACCAAGTGGCAAGTATTATAAGTATTGTGTTTAAAAATATATATAAGTAGTACTGTGCTAGTATAGGTCTAATATGTATTTTTGTACTCATACAAACAAGGAAGTGAACTATGGCATTAAAGCACATGCATAAATATATAAAGTTGTAACAACAGTTTTAGGTGCTATACGTAAGTATACCAAGTATGTGCATTAAAGGTTTCAAAAAAGTATGTGTATTACTAATTAATTATCCAGTTGAGAGAAACTATTTTATAACATTTGTAATACATACAACAAATGGCTTATGCATTTAGCATATCTTTAAGAAATATGAAATCTATCTCTTGTACAACCAATTACGTGGTAAAACAGAAAATTATGCATACTTTAAAACAAGATTCATATGCATGCCGTGTGCTACACTGAACTAACATTAGTTTTAAAAAAGCAAACATAGCGTATGAAAATCTCTATATTTGAAAAGAGCAAACATTTCATTTATAATTATTTTCAAACTTGTTAGACTTACCATTTACTATAGCCAATTTACCCTCAACGAGTTGACCTCTAGAATTGAATTCTCCTCTTACCGCTCGGTAGGTAAGTGGAAGGATCATAAAATTTCTCCGAAGGTTATATGCTAAACGAAAAACAAGCAAGTTCAAATATGTTTGTAAATTTTGATTCTAGAATATGATCATGTGCAAGCCGCATAAAAGTCACATGGTGAATTTTATTTTAAAGTGAATTGCACAGTAGTAAATATTGTACAACAACTCACTCTGTAAGTTTTGCTCAACTCATAAATGTTATTTATTTTTACAAACAAAATTACATGGACCTGGTCCTCCCTTAATCTAGATGTATATTGCTTTTCATATTTTTCCTCCTATGCATGTATTTCTTTTACTAAGTTTCCTGACACATATTCAATTTTTTTAACACAGTACAATCGTAGATGCTAATATACACTAACCCCTATGAAAGCACACTCGCACATCCTATTCGTATGAGCGCCTTTGAAATACTGAGCCGGCACAACATCTTGATATTGACAAAGTCATCATAGGCGCCTCGAAGTCGACGGTAACATCTCCTCCCACCGAACGAACATTGCCAAAAGATTAAAATAATAAAAGAAAAATGCGAGCGCCAATGGCAAGTTTAGGACTTGAATCTTGGTGGGCTAGTTCCATCACAAGGAACCAAACCATCTGACACATGTACAATGTTATTTTTTATGCGGGGTAAAGGGAATTTTATTTCATGAGTGCAGTTACTGTCAGAGGCAAAAGTTTCTTCATACATGGGGTCCTTGATGCAACCACATAGCCATGATACACTCCGTTCGACTATAATTCGCCAAACAATCGACAACTCTATTTTATTCCCTACTATTTACGAGGAATAAACTCCATATCTACCATTAAAGCTTTGATCTCTGCAACAAGATGACTGTATGCCGAACGAATAAGTCCATCGCCAGTAATACATGATAAGGTCTCCGTGGAGTCAGATTGGACAATTACGACGAGCTAGAGTGTTGTAGGCTTGTAGCGCCAAAGCCATCCCATGCATGATTGCACGGATTTCAACCTTCAGGGCGTCATTGTAGTTAAACACAAATCGACAAGCTGCAAAAAATGACGGACCCATCATATCGCTGCACGATCATGCCTGCCGCCGCCGCCCAACTCTATCAAAAAGGAACCATCCACAGGCAAGGCAACCTGTACGATGCTAACAAAGCCTTCAAAAAAATTTGTTAACATATTCTTCATGGACATTGCCCAATTATACCCTGCAAAAAAATTACTACTAAAATTTCTATTTTATCCTTTATAACCAACTAAAATTTCAATTTCACGTGTATTCATAGTACTCACTCCGTCCTTGAAAGGGTGTACTTTCAACTTTGTTGGAGGGTCAAAATATCTTAAAATTTGATCGAGTTTGTAAGAAAATATATCAATGCTTGTGAAATCAAATAGGTAGTATGTGATGAAAATATATTTTATCATGAATCTAATGTAATTTGATGGTATAAATGTTGGTCTATTATTGTGTAATATGGTTAAACGTAAAAAAAGTTTGACTGTTGGAAGTACGCTCTTTTAAGGATGGAAGGAGTAGACACCATAAACTGCATGGATTTATAAGGATCAGTTATAGTAAATCACTATTTTCTCGACCTCAGTTCGGAAATATAGCAACCAATTAAACATGTCTCTAAGCGCCGTTAAGATTGTCCTCTACTTAACCGCGAAGGCCCAGCAAACAAAAAGAGTAAAAAAAAAAGCCGCATAAAACGCAGGGCCCCCCTCCCCCTGGGATCGTCGTCCTCCCCACACTCCCACGCGCCCCCCGATACAACACAACGCTCCTCTCTCTCTCTCCCCCATCTCTCGCTGTCCTCCGCGGCAAGTCAAGTGGAACGCGAATCGAAAAGCAGCGGCCGGAGGCGGAAGGGAGCGTGACGCCGCCGCCCGCCATGAGGCTCCTCGTCCCCGACGGCGCGCGCCAGCACTCCGAGGCCGCGACGCCGCGCCGGCACCGCCCGCCGCCCGAGGCGCCGCCGGAGGCCAGCGGCAGGACGGTGGCGGTCGGGATCAGGTGGGACGCCGCCAGCCGCGAGCTCCTCACCTGGGCGCTCGTCAAGGTCGCCAATGCCGGCGACCGCGTCGTCGCCCTCCACGTCGCCGCCGGTGCGTCCCCCCTCTCTCTCCCCGGCCCAGCGCCGCCGGTCGCCCGCGTCTCTAATTTCCTCGCCGTCAGTTTTTACCAAGTTCGAGTTCCGTGGTTGCGAAAAAAATTCCTTCGGTCTTGTCTCTTGTCATGATATTAATCTCCTCCCTTTTCCTGCCTTTTCGTTCAGGAGGCGGAGGAGGGGCTGGGCTGGAGGAGAGGAGGAAGGCCGCGGATTCGCTCGCGACGGTGCTCGCCGTGTACGACGGCTTCTGCAACCTCAAGCAGGTCCGTCCCTCCCTCCCTGCTTCCCAAAACGCTCTCTATTTTTTTGTTACCGCTACTTTATCTATTATTATTCGCGGGAGTAACTTCCGGATTCCTATTCAATGGCTGCGGTTCATCAAAGCACTTGCCTTTTTCGTCACGGAGAGCTGCCAATTTGACCCGTCATTAATTTGCAGGCCATCCAATTTTATGTCTCAAACTTAAAACTTTCCACCTCTTCGGTACCATTTGATGCTGACAATAGCTTACCGGGTGGTCCAACTCTTGTGTTTTCATTCAGTTTTGGCGGCTTGAAATTTTTGGCACCTCTTAATTTTCACCTCCAACCATTAAATTTTTACTGCCACTGCTTGTCAAGTCAATCTGCAAGAGGTTGAGGGACCAGGACTTTGTAGCCCTTTGATCCTACCACCGGGAATTTGCCTCAAAATTAACTCTCTCTCTTTTAAAGTTTTTCCTCCTCAAAATTCTCATCGCTTTGTTGTTCCACTTACCTTCGGCAGATCAATTTGGAGCTCAAGGTCTGCGCAGGATCGTCTATCCGGAAAACTCTGGTTAAAGAGGCGGCTTCATGTGGTGCTGCGCATCTGATCCTCGGTGTCGCAAAGAATTCTCGGTCTTTTGGGTACTGAATTTCGCACATTCTCCATTCCTTGTTGCTAAATTGGTCCAAATTAGTTTGTTCCTCATATTAGTGTCCTTGTTTCTTTTCAACTTTCCATCAGATCCTCCTCCACTTCAGTTGCCAAGTACTGTGCAAAGAGAGTTCCCACGAGTTGCTCGGTTCTTGCTGTCAACAATGGCAAGATTATTTACCAAAGAGCTGCAGCACGCGAAGAACCATTCAATAGCACTAGCGCACGTAAGTCAGTCAACCATATCACTTGCATTTGTTCATTTCCCTGTCTGTGGTTGCCATGAGTATGCTTAAACTCTGTAACTGGAATGCAGCCGAGACTCCAAGGAGGAGTTACCGCAAGCTTTTGACTTCCCTGATAGGAGAGAGATCTCAGGATGAATGTATAAAGGATAACAGGTCCATTTCTCGGGCTGTCACCATGCCAATGAGGTCTCACACATCGCCAAAGGAAGTTTCGCTAGCATTGGTTCCAGTTAAGGTTAGCCGACGTGAATCGCCAGAAGTAGCAACTGGCTGGCCATTCCTAAGGAAGAAGTTATTGCCAAACCGACAGGATGCGTTGTCTGACAAGCCCAAGATGTCTGTGGTGCAGTGGGCAATGCGGCTTCCGAGCAGGTATTCAGCTGTTTCGCCGGTCCATGTTGAACACAGAGCCACGAGACCAGACTCAACCAACAATGTCAGTCGTATCTTGCGTGATAGGGTAGTTATCCCCTCCAGAAGCAATTCAGGAGGCACTTCTGTTGTGATTGAGGAATTGGATAAAGAAATTCCAGAGGAGCTGATCTCACTCAAAGAGAAATTCTTATCCCTTTATTCTTCGTACAGTTACAATGAGCTTGCAGATATCACTTCCAATTTTTCATCTGGTATGTGTTTCATATTGATTTCTATTATTCCCACTTCCCTAGACATGTCATGTTTAGCCATTAGGTGCTTGTTTGCGCAGAGTGTATAGTTGGACAAGGTGGCACGAGCCAAGTCTACAAAGGTTGTTTGACAAATGGCAAGGAGTTGGCAGTGAAGATCCTGAAGTATTCCGATGAGGTACTGAAGGAGTTCACATCAGAGATCGAGATTGTCAGCTCCGTCGTTCACAAGAACATCATATCCATCACTGGCTTCTCCTTCAAGAACAATGATCTTCTATTGGTATATGAATACTTGCAAAGAGGCAGCCTAGAAGAAATACTGCATGGTATGTTCCATAGCTTGTGTCACCTGTTTTCTCCTTGTGCTGTTTCCATGAAAAAACTCATCTTATTGTTAACGTGATGTAGGTGAGAAAGAATGTAAAAGCATGTTTGGTTGGACCGAGAGGTTCAATGTGGCGGTAGGTGTTGCACATGCACTGGATTATCTCCATGGTAACGGCAACAGTCGCCCAGTGATCCATAGGGATGTCAAGTCGTCAAATATCCTCGTCTCAGAGGATTTTGAGCCAAAGGTAAACCTATCACCCTGTTCCACAACATGCTTCAGTTCTTGTGCGGCATCAAATTAGCTGAATCAAGATATCTACGTTTGTGTGATGCAGTTATCAGACTTTGGCCTTGCGCTTTGGGCCGCTGATGCAACACCCCAGATCACATGCAATGATGTAGCAGGAACTTTTGGGTTAGCTAGCTGATCATGTGCACACTAGCTTTCCCTTTTTTATGCTCTGCTGCAACATTTGCTTTACTGATGTATGTATACATACCTTCCCCCAGGTACTTGGCTCCTGAATACTTCATGCATGGCAAGGTGAACGACAAAATCGATGTTTTTGCTTTTGGTGTTGTTCTTCTTGAACTCGTCTCAGGCAGGAAACCGCTGTGCACTGGTTGTCCGAAAGGCCAGGAGAGCCTAGTTATGTGGGTAAGTGCATCATCCCTATGCAACACCCCAGATCACATGCTGCTTGTTTGTTTGAAAATAAAAATTTGCTTGATCTATTGTAAACAATGGTTCCTTCCTGTAGTTTTAACAGAGAATTTGGTTGTTTGTGTTGTATAGGCGAATTCTATCATCCAAGGAGGAAAGCTCACGCAACTGGCAGATCCTAGCTTGCCTACCGAAGGCCATAACGATGAAATTGAGAGGATGACACTTGCTGCTTCGCTCTGCATCAGACCGACGCCTCAACACCGTCCTCATATCACAGTGGTGAGATTTCGTCTGTGATGCATATAGATTGCGCCATTTATCATGTTGTGCATTTCCTTTGTACTCCCATCTTACAAGCTTCCATCTGTAAACATCAGGTTTTGAAGCTACTTGATGGCGACAATGACATTCTCAAGTGGGCTAGATCTCATGTCGGTTTATCATACGATAGCGATGGTGACGAAGACGACGTCGTCACGCTCGCGCCACCGCCGGAGAACAGCACCAACATCCAGTCGTACATCAATCTCGCCTTTGACGTGGACGACGACTCCGCCTCGGTGAGCAGCAACGACTTCATCACGGCAAACACGTCCCTGGAAGAGTACCTACAGGGAAGATGGAGTCGATCGTCGAGCTTCGACTGACCGGCAGCAGATCCATGGCAGAGTTGGTGCCCAAGTTTTGTTCATAGAGATCCTTCCCCTCTCCCACTTCCTAAGTTAACCTGTTGCTCCTTGGGTGAGAGGCGGCACATGCGATGCAACGCCCTCCTCAGGGTCTATGTTCTGATCATTATTTCTTGTTTATTTTTCTTCCCCCTAGAGTTGTTATGAGTGTAATGTTCTCACCCGAAGGATGAGACGAGGAATAAAGTAGAGCAGGGAGAATGTAACCGTGGGTTGTTTGCCCACACCACACCCAAATCATTAGTGATTGTTCCGCCCTCTGCTCACTTGTTAAGAGTAAGATCATCATGAGACTGAGACTGCCAAACGTGTTTGGTATGAGAGAATATTTACTGCTGAATTTCACTGTGGATGTTGAATTGCTTCTGCTAGTGCCTTGTGTTAATTACCCATCACATCGCTCCAGATCATGAATAAGGTCAGGATCAATGTATCCACACCCAGATCCTGCTAGCATATTATTAATCCAGGCTTGTGCTCCACGATGATGCTTCTGCTTGTGCATCCATTATACAATGAAGTGCCAGTGATTCTGATAACTAACTAATGGGTGTCTGCTTCGGCATGGCATCTCATGGTCCCGACTCCTGAGCAGGTCGGTCCAACCAACGAACAGAGCTCATCATCATTAAAAGGAAAGAAAAGAGAAGATGGTGCAGGAGGAGTAAAGCTGCCCTACTAGTAGTAGGATACTAAATCATTTGGTGATCGCAGGCACAGTTGGGACATGTTGCATCACATGGGCCTGGGGCTGGGGCTGGGGGAATCACATTCACTTCACACTCACATGAACCAACCAACCAACCAACCCCCCTGGATGTTAGTACTGCATGAGAGGAGAGAACCGACAATGGCAGGATTCTTGGGAGCGTTACCTGTGCACGCCAACATCGACGAGAAGCTTGGCGACACACAGCGAATAATGGGGACACGCACTTATTATGGCACGCATGGATGAGCAAAACAAACCGCAAGCAATCAGAGTAACTTAAGGCCCTCCTGAACATGCTAATAGTTCAGTGTAACTTAAGGCCCTCCTGGATTGCAGGAATTTTGTACGATTTCAATCCTTTGGAATTTTTCCTAAGGATTGCCTTTGGATCGAGGAATGATGGCACCCAAATCCGTATGGAATGGATCGTTATGCTTCAATTTCATAGGAATTTGAACATCCACTCCAACCTCATTTTTAGACTTACTCGTGGAGGATCGAGGCGCTTTTCTTATGTTTTTTTCCCCTACATTTCATCCAAATGACTATTCTTGCGATTTTCCTATGTTTTTGTAATCCTCTGTTTCGCTTTGTGAGCCCCATCAGATTCCTGAGTTTTTCACATTCCTGTGTTTCACAATTCTGCCATTCAACTCATGCGAAACTACGAACTTTGGACGATGGAGATTGAACGGTGCTATCCAAGCTTGCTCTGCGCATGGACGGCTTGATTGCTGCATCATTAGAAAATCGTTCAGAGTTTGCCGTGTGTGTAGCAGCATTCTAACTCATATCAGAGGCTAGAGGAGCGATGCAAAACATCGAGCCGAAACTTCCAAAATGGAGACGAAACTCTTGGCCCGGTCATTGGCTGCTTCACCCCCGGGGCAACGGGTGGGTATTTTAGCCGAGAACCGAATTCCAAACTGAAAAAAACCCGGGACTGAAGCCTAGACAACCGAAATTAGCTCAGTCAGTTCGGTTTTAACCCTGTGTTAATACGAGATTTTTTACCCTATTGAAGTTGACAGGATTCTTCTTACCCCTTAGCGATCATATGGATGAAGATTTTGTGGCATGGCACTATATAAAGTCATACACGTTCTTGGTTAGGTCAGCATATTATGTTGAATGGGATCATTCTCACCGGCATAGACTTACCTGTACTGATGGTCAAGGTACATCGTCACGGAACCCAGTTTGGGAAATTCCATGGAAGTTGCAGGTACTGAGTAAAGTGGATTTTTTTGTGTGGAATGCTCTCTATGGGCACATCCGTACTTCACAATGTCCATTATGTTCTATGGGTCTGGAGGACGTCTTACACTTGATGTTTACTTGTGCACGAGTGAAGCAATTGTGGGCTCCCCTGGGTCTTCTAAAAATTATTGAAGAAGCGTCATGTATAGATAGATCCAGATCCGTTGTGTTTGAAGAGCTGCTGCGTCGAACTAGTAACAAATCACCAATTCTTGGTCATGTTGGTCTTAAAGAGCTGATTGCAGTTAGGGCATGGTATGTATGGTGGCAGCGACGGGAGTTTGTTAAGGGGGATCTGTAGCCCCGCTGCCTCACACATCTTTTACTTTAAGCTCTAGCAAGCAAGCAATTTTGCAAGCGCACATTCATGGACCAAGCAAGAAGAACTCACTTGGATAAAAACCACCAAATGATGTATACAAGCTGAATGTAGATGCCACTCTTAAGAATAAAGGCAGAGGAGGTGTAAGAGCGGTTATTCGAAATGATAAAGGCGAGGCCATAGCTGGTGCATGTTGGCCTCTTCACCACCTGTTAGATGTAGCAATAGCAGAAGCTAAAGCACTACAACATGGCTTAAACACCATTGAAGACTTGGGGTATATTCCAGTCAATGTAGAATCGGATTCCTTGGAACTTGTTCAAGCTTTCAATGGCACAACTCAGATTTGGTGTCCTTACGCGGCTATACTTGTAGATTGGTTTCAAATAGCTCAGAGGATTGGTGATATTTTCTTGCAACACTACAACTGAGAAGCAAATCACGTGGCACACAATTTAGCTAGGCATACTAGTATTTCAAACTCTACTGTCTTTTGGATGATACCCCACCTACTTTTATTGTTTCTGATGTAATAAACGATGTATCTCCTTTTAAAGCGAAATAAAGTGCATCATGAAGGATTTTCCTTAAAAAAAACTTTGTTAACCGAAATGACTGAAGAAACCGAAAAAACTAGTAACAAACCAACTCCACGCATTAGGCCCGTAGCCTACTAGTGACTAGTCAGCTTACATGTGTCAATTTGGGCCTTCAGAAAATCACAAGCGTTAGCTCTCCAGGCTGCACAGCCGCCAAATCCTACTTCGTCTTCTTCTTTCTTCGTTTTTTCCCCTATTCCCTTTTAATTTCTTTTTTCAAATTCATGAAAAAAAATTGCGAAAGAAATTTGTGAACTTTTTTTCTTGAAAGTAGATACTTTTTTTTCAAAATCGAGGAACTTTTTTCAAAGTAGCGATTTTTTAAAAAAATCGCTGAACTTGTTTTAAAATTAACAAACTGTTTTCCATAACTGATTTTTTAATTCATGGGTTTTTTCAAATCGGTGAACTTTTTTAAAAGTTTGAGGAACTTCTTTGAAAATCCGCGAACTTTTTAGAGTCCGTGAGCATTTTATTTTTGAATTCTATTTTTTGATTTTTTTTAAAAAGTCAATGGCCAATGGTTGACCGGTCTACCACTACCAGTCAACCACGAAACGATGGAGCTTATTTTCTTTTTCATCAGTAAAGGAAACAATCGAGCAGGGAAAGGCAGGGAAGCGGGGAACTCCTAGTCGGCGCCTTAAGCGCCGGCTAGGAGAAACGGCGCCCACACGCCCTGCAGGTTGGGCCGGCCCACGAAATGCGTCGAACAGTAAATTAGCACAGAAAATCCCTCCAAAAAAGTAATCTCACCGTCCCATAATGTAAGACACTTTTTGACACTAGTGTAGTGTCAAAAAACGTCTTACATTATGGGACGGAGGGAGTAGCTACTAACGGGATTCAAACTCACGCAGTTCGCTCCACAACAAAACTCGCCAACCACTGGAGCCACTGGCCTTGAGCAATTATAAACAGCGTGAAACAATAAATAACATGGTCGCAATGATATTTGTTGCACATAACCATGTACTGTATTGTGTCAGTTTTTTGGGAAAAAATCGAGATTAGAATAAGTTACTGAATTTTGGAAAAAGTTCATCATTTTTTAAGAAAAGTTCACAAACTTGAAAAGTTCATTGATTTTCAAAAAGTGTTCATCAAATTTGAAAAATATATTCATAGATTTAAAAATAAATCATAGAAATGGGAAAAAAGTTCATGAATTTTCAAAAAAATACAAATTTGAAAAAAGTTCATCCAATTTGGAAAAAGTTCATCGAATTTGAAAAAAAATCATTAAAATTTTAAAAAGTCATCGAATTTGGAAAAAGTTCATTGAATTTGAAAAAAATTCAGCCAATTTTAAAAAATGTTCATCGATTTGAAGAAAAAGTTCACGAATTGTAAAAAAATCATCAAGCCAGGAAGAAGAAAATGAAAAAAGAAAAAACAGAAACAAAAACAAAAAACAAAAAAAAAGAATAAAGAAGGTAAAATGAAAGAAGAAATAAGAAAAGACGTATAAGGATGTTAGTCAATAGGTCGGGCATGGTGGCGCGGTGTTTACTCTCTGCTACCTCGTAGTGGAGGTCGGGAGTTCGATTCCTCGCTGTGTCGCTTCTTTTTTTGCATCTACAAAATGGGAAGGAAGAAAGTGCAGAATACACATTAACGGGCGTCTGCAGCGCTAAATAGGATTCTCCTTAAATTGGCGCCGCCACGCACAGGGAGGCAACCTGACTGGCCGGCCCATCGAGCTGTTCTGTGGGAAGAAAAAGGAAGCAAAAAAAAGGCGCAATGCAAGGAGTCAAACTAGCGACCAGCAAATTGCGACTGAGCGCTTCTGGCCACTCCAGCTGACTAGCGTCCCATGCAATAGAACAACGCACATTAATAATAGCATGACTGTACAACCAGACTGATGCACTATATCCAACCGGAATTAGTTACTATAGTCATCATCTAACAAAAAGGTGTACATTTCTACTGAAAGTGTATATTTCGAAAAATGCGTGAATTTCTGAACAAATTTTCCTAAACAGGAATATTTTTTTGCATATGCGAGAAAAATTGAAATTGCAGAAAGTTTTGTTTTAAAACTTGAACCTCTTTTGAAGTT